CCAATTATGGCTACGTGACTTGAAATATTTGAGATGATAGATTTTGATGTTGTCTTTAGTATGAATGATGCTTCATAGTTGCCTCTATGTTAAGAAAGATATTTAGAAGAATTTGTGTAGGCATACTCCCAAGGGGAAGATAGTGTGCCTACCTAGCAAGGTTATTATGTGGTTATGTTTAGTTGATGGTAGAACCCGACTTAGTCATAATGAGTTTTGAGGTATGTTGATAGATTGGTTGAATAGGGTGTTTAAATAATGCCTAGATGGGTTAAGTGAATAGACTCCTCTAAGAAGGGTAGAAGTGTAATTCACCATGATTTAGAATCACCTTGTGTGATGGATGTGAAAGCTTAGTGATGACTTGCTCCGACCTTAGAGTTGAAAGAAATGATGCTTAAAGGAGTTTGTATTGGATTTTTCCCAAGGGGGGGATAATGTGCTTAGCTAGCAAGGTCGTTGAGTGTTCTTGATGTTCATGATTTAGGTTTGCTTGAAATTTTTACCTTGAGAGGTGTAGGGAGTATGAGAAGTTTAGTCCCGATTTGTTAGGCTCATGTGAGATCTTGAGTGGTGTTAGTAAGGTTGCTTGTGAGCTATAGTTGCTTAATGAGAACCTCTCTAATTTAGAAGTACCGGTAGAGGTCTTAGACCGGCAAAGTTTAAGAAATAGAAGAACAAGGAAGTTGTTCCATAAAGTGGTAAAGAGTGTTCTTTAGTAAGGAATTTGGTTAAGAGTGCTACTTGGGAGGCCAAAGGCCAATGAGATGTCCCGATGTCCCGATGTCCTCATCCTTTTCCTTATGCTCTTATTCTAGCTTGAGATGATAGGTTCCTCTTGATTTGCTTTTATATGAAGTCATGTGTGAATAGTATGTTTCCATGATTTTCTTATGTGATGCATGTTCATGAAAATGCCTAGGTCTTGTTAGAAATGACTTATATGCATTGTATTCCTCATGTTGTAGTGCATTTGAGTAAAGTTGCATATAGACTTCATGAGATGAGTTAATGAGCATGCCTTAGTTTTGAGTTGAAAGATTCCTCCTTGAATAAATGCTTTTTGAGAGTAAATTGCATTTAGGCTCCATGAGTGTGTATTGAGCATGTTTTAGTTGGGAGTTGTTAGTTCCTCCTTGAGAATGAGTAAATAAAGAATTTCATGCATTTTGGGTTGATAAATGTAGTTCCTACTCCCTTGTGTTGCATTGAATGTGTTTAGCTTGAAATTGAAGTTTTCTTACTTGGTTGTGTGCATTTTAAATATGTTGCATGCATGATGGGCGGCTAGTCTAGAGTTGTGACTATAAGAAGTGTTTAGAATCGTCATTCGAGAACGAATGATCCCAAGGGGGAGATATTATTACTCCCCGGAAACTAGTAAGTTGAACTAGAGAGCTCTAGAGCCTTTCGTAAGAGTTTTAGAGTGTGATAAGAGGATTAAAACTCATAGAAATGGCTCCCATACTTAGAATGGAGGTTTAAGGGTTAGGGCGTCAAGGTACGAACCCCCAAGGACCACCCAAGGGGTCCTTGAGGAGGACCTCAAAACAGCCCTAAAAGCTGTCAAATTTCAACTCACGCTTGCCATCAACTGACCGTGAGTGGACCCACGCCCCGTGGGTTGGGGTCGTGGGTCAAGGCCTGAGTTGGCCTGCACCTCTAAGCTACAGTCCAGCACCAACGAAGGTGCAGTACGGAGCGTGGACCCACCTACGGTCCGTGGGTGGGTGGTTCGTGAGTGGGAGCAGTTTTTCAAGTTTAGTTTTTAAGTTAGGGGTTAGGGGGTTAATTAGTAATTACATAGGAGTTAAGGGAGGTCGGTTAGTTAGTTATTAAACCACCTATATAAGCTAAATAGGCCCCTAAAACTAAGTCGTTAACTCATTCATCTAAAGACCCTAACTCCCTCTAAAATAATTCTCTCACTAGAACTCCATAGAAGAACAAGACCAAAGGTGAAGTCTAGGGTTCAAGGGGATGTCTTTTCTCCTCAAATTCGTGGTGCATCTTCAATAAGGTATGTTAGTTTATTCATCTATGGGTTCTTCCACCCATAGAGCCCCATAGGTTTTCCACCAATTTTGAAGAAAACCCCCAATCTAAGCTAGGGTTTCTTCTAAAGTGTGGGTAGTATTTGAGTTTGATTCCAATTGGTTGGAAAATACTCAATTTTGATTGTTTTAGTAGTGGATCATGATGTATTGATGAATTTGTGTGATTTCTATGGTTAACCCTAGTTTATTTGATGAATTTGCTATTTTGTGAGTTTATGCCATAAGAGGTGAAATTGAAGAAATTGAATTTGATCTTCCTAAATCAATGTCATGTGTAGTAATTGTTCAAGGTTAGGATCATATAGATATGAATCGAATTAGACTATAGTTCAAATGATGGATCTTGACTAGTAAAGTTAAAATTGAACCTTTATAATGAATTTGCTCTAGAATCACCTAGTAATGAAAAATGTGATTGAAACACCTTGTAATCTAGGCATGGGTGAAGATAGTAGGAAGTAAAGCTTGAGTGTAGGGTTTTTAATTATGAATGTTGATCACTAAGGCTCCAAAGTAAAGTTAATATGACGAACTATAGATTCCAAGGCTTTGAAAGTAGAGTCAACATGTGAATGAAAGGATAATGAATAAAAGTGTGATGAAAGATCCTTATCTACTTAATTCACCTTATGAATAATAGATGGTAGGAAGTGATGGAATCACTTGAGTCATGATGATATCTTTATCTAATGTAGAATTCTAGACATGATATTAGGCATGAGTATGAACTTGACATGAAAGGGTTTCTCACTTAGTAATGGCTCTAGGGTTTTGAGGGCAAATCCAATATAATGAATTATGTATGTTAAGGCTCTAAGAATGAAGCTTATGAGATAATGGTAGACTATTAGATAGAATGGTTATGATAAGATCTTACCACCTAATTTACCTCATGAAGGTTTGGATGCATAAAGTGATAGAATCACATGGATTAGGAGGACATCCATGTCTAGAGCTCGAACCCTAGGTGGGATGATTGAAAGTAAGAATTGAACCTCAAGGAGGTGAAGTGTGAGATTAGCATTGTAGTAATTAAACTACTTGAATCATGCTTAAATCCATGTCTAATGTAGTCATTCTAGATGTGTTGATTTAATATGAGTTTTGACCTTAGAAAGGGCCAAGACATGATAGTGTGCATGTTGTATGAAGTTTAGTACATGCTTTATAGACACTTTGAGAGTAAAGTGAATATGCTCATGACCTAGTTGTAGTGTTTTTAAAAGGTTAATTTCATATACACACTTAGGCATGAATATGATAGGAGGTGAAAGGTTTGTCACCTATAGTGATTCTAAGGTTTGAAGACTAGTCTCACCTAATTGAATCAAATGCTCTAGAGCCATCATAAATAGGTCATGGATGGTGATAGTTGCTCACACATGATCTAATGAGCTATAGTATGAGTTATGTTGGATTGAGTGTCAAGACATTCTTCCACCAATATGAACATAAGTCAAGACTTAATGTGAAGTCAATGGGACTTAATGCGTAGCACCGAGTGGATACGAATATGATATGGAAGCCGCTCTGTTAGTAGAGGGTGGGTTTCTAGAAGAAGTCTCATGAGATGAAAGCTCCTCCGTTAGTAGATGGGGAGTTTCTAGAAGTAATTTCCTTATCCCATAACTATGTGCCCACATAGGTTACTTAAAAATTGGTTTCATCCAAGGTAAGAGTACAGTTCTACCCTCGACAGGTAGAACGACTCCTTTACGGTGTGGGGTAGACACTGGATTTCATGTTAGCTCACATGGTCTATATGGGTTAATGTTTATGTCCCAAATAGTGTAGTAGTATGAGCAAGAACAGTAGTTATCAACTATGGGTACTTAAGAGGCTTTACTTAGTATGGGTAAGAGTATGAGATCTTAATTATGCGTTGCATAAGTATGCTTTGAAGGTATCTATGGTGTGTTCCTTTTTATGTTTATGGTGTATGTTTGATGGATTTTTGCTATAGTTGCCTTCCAAGATACGATTGAGTTAAGGTGATAGATCCATTGTCTACATGTAGTAAGCCAATAGTGAGACCAAAGGAGGGTGAATATGACTAGGATGACTTCAAGGTTATGCTTAGTGTGAAGGGTAGTATGGGATGCCTTTCATGCATTACATAAGTGTGCTTTGAGGTTACTTAAGTATGGTGATCTGATGGTATAGAAGCTTAAAGACTTGACCATGTGTATAGACTATGATTAAGATGACCAAAAAGGATACTTGGCTTGGGTGGTATTATGGGATGCTATTCATGATTTGCACTTGTATTATTTTGAGGTTACTTGAGAATGGTTCTATTATGGTATAGATGACTAAGGGTCAATTATGCTTATTATGACTTTGACTTATCTCCTATGCTCATTAACTATGTCTTATGTTAACTTTTGATTATATGATGCTTATGTTGGAGATTATGCTATGACTATGTTATTATCTCTTATGTTTATGTCTCTTGTTGACTTACCATTTTGACATGCTCTTATAATGTTGTGTTAGCTATCATACTTGGTACATTTTGTACTAACGCATACTTTGCCTATATTCTAATCAAATGTAGTGTTTCATAGATTGAGTTTCTTTGGAGGCTAGGTTTTTAAGGAGAAAGAAGAGTTGAACTTTTGGTAAGTCCTTATAGTTTCGAGGACAAACCCATTATATCCTTTATGTCTTTTATTTTCATGTTGAGACTATTCTACGGGCTTTGTCCCAAGATTTTATTATAAAAGTTGTATTAGATTGTTTGAGACAAAGTATAGAAAGACTTCCGCTTGCTTTTATGAAAATGATTTCGATTGTAAAGAAAAGTTTTAAAATTTTCCTGTACTTTTCTATTATCTTATGCTCATGATATGCTAAGGGCTTGTATGAGGCTTTTCGGAGTCGTGTATTCCGTGTTACGTCTAGGGGGTACTCCTGGGTCGTGACACAAGTAGCTTCCTCAACCAGACGATTCTTCCATTGAACCTTCACGGACTGTATCTCCTTGGTCCTCAGCTTCTGGACATCGCGACCCGGAATTGCAACTGGTTCCTCCTCATACTGAAGGTCTTTGTCTAAAGAAACTGAGTCCCACTTTATGATGTAATCTTTGTCCCCATGATACTTCTTCAACCTGGACTGATGGAACACTGGATGGACTCCAGATATGCTAGGTGGTAAAGCCAACCTTTAAGCCACTGGCCCTACACACACAAGAATCTCAAATGGCCCGATGTATCGAGGACTAAGCTTGCCCTTCTTACTGAATCTCAGCACCCCCTTTATGGGTGACACTTTAAGAAAAACTTGCTCACCAGACTGAAATGTCATGTCCCTTACCTTACGGTGCACATATTTTTCTGTCGACTCTGGGCTTCTAGAAGATTAGCTTGAATGCTCCTTACCTTATCCTGAGCATCTTTCACCAAATCAACCCCCAAAGGTTTCACATCTCCAGCCTAAAATCACCCTATGGGTGATCTACATCCCCTATCGTAAAGTGCCTCGAACGGTGCCATGTCAATGCTGGAGTGGTAACTGTTATTATAGGAGAACTCAAAAAAAGGTAGGAACTTATACCAATGCCCTCCAAAGTCAATCACACATGCCCTCAACATGTCCTCTAACACTTGAATCGTTCTTTCTGACTGCCCGTCCGTCTATGGGTGGAAAGCTGTGCGAAATGTGAGTTAAGTTCCCAACTCCTCATGCAATTTTCCCCAAAACTTGGATGTGAACTATGTACCACGGTCCGAGATTATAGAAAGAAGCACCCCATGCCGCCTCACTATCTCTTTCACATAAACCTTAGCCAACTCTGAGCATTATAGTCCACTCTGACTGGAATGAAGTGGACCAACTTAGTCAGTCTGTTAACCACCACCAAAATGGAGTCAAAGTTTCCCAAGGTCTTGGGAAGACCAACCTCAAAATCCATAGCCATCCTTTCCCACTTCCATTTCGGAATTGGCATTCGTTGAAGCAAACCTGCAGGCCTTTAGTGCTCATACTTTACCTGCTGACAGTTTTAGCACTTACCCACAAACTCAGCTATGTCTTTCTTCATGCCAGGCCGCCAATAAAGTCTTTTCAAATCTTGGTATATCTTGGTCACACCCGAATAAATGGAATACATCTTCTGAATCAAGTCATCCACTCGAGGAACATAAATTCTCCCCTTAAAACTAAGCACACCACCTGCATCAAGAACCACATCTTGTGCCTTACTAGACACAGTCTTCTTACTGAGCTCATTCAAACTCTCATCCTCAAACTGCTTGGCCTTGATCTCCTCAATGAATGTGGGTCTAACCTCAATGCTGGCTAACACCCCACCTTTCTCTGAGATGCCCAACTACATGAACTTAGACTCCAAGGTTTGAATCTCCTTGGGCAAAGGTCGCTTGGACACACCCAAGCAATCTAGACTACCCATACTCACTGCCTTCCGACTTAATGCGTCTGCCACCACGTTAGCCTTACACCGATGATACTGGATGGTAACGTCAGAATCCTTGAGTAACTCCATCCACCTTTCACTGTCTCAAATTCAATTCCTTCTAAGTGAATACATGTTGTAGACTACGATGGTCAGTAAACACCTCACACTTAACACCATAAAGGTAATAGTCACCAGATCTTGAGGGCAAACACTACCGCTGCCAACTCCAAGTCATGCGTCGGGTAGTTCCTCTCATGCACTTTCAGCTGCCGCAGTGCACAAGCTATAACATTCTTATCCTGTATTAACATAACACCCAATCCCGAATGTGAAGCATCAGAATAAATAATGGAATTTTTACCTTCCACCGACAGTGCCAAAATAGGTGTTGTGGTCAGAAGGGTCTTAAGCTTTTGGAAGCTCTCTTCACATTTGTTAGTCCACTCGAAAGGCACCTCCTTTTTGGTCAGCCTTGTTAAATGCAAGGCGATAGAAGCAAAATTTTTCACAAATCACCGGTAGTAGCTGGCGAGTCCCACGAAACTCCTAACTTCCATCAGAGAGCTAGGCCGGACCCAGTTCTTGACTGCTTTGATCTCAGCTGCCGCAGTGCACAAGCTATAACATTCTTATCCTGTATTAACATAACACCCAATCCCGAATGTGAAGCATCAGAATAAATAATGGAATTTTTACCTTCCACCGACAGTGCCAAAATAGGTGTTGTGGTCAGAAGGGTCTTAAGCTTTTGGAAGCTCTCTTCACATTTGTTAGTCCACTCGAAAGGCACCTCCTTTTTGGTCAGCCTTGTTAAATGCAAGGCGATAGAAGCAAAATTTTTCACAAATCACCGGTAGTAGCTGGCGAGTCCCACGAAACTCCTAACTTCCATCAGAGAGCTAGGCCGGACCCAGTTCTTGACTGCTTTGATCTTTTGGGGATCTACCATTACCCCTTTCTTTGAAACCACATGCCCTAAGAAGGCGAGTGAAGTCAACTAGAACTCACACTTGGAAAATTTTGCATACAACTTATGTTTTCCAAGACACCCAAAACAATACAAAAATGATCGGCATGCTCTTCCTTAGTCTTCGAATAAACCAAAATGTCATCAATAATGACAATCACAAAAGAATCTAGGAATGGTTTGAATAAACCATTCATCAAAATCATGAAGCTGCAGGAGCATTGGTAAACCCAAATGACATCATTAAGAACTCATAGTGCCCATAACGGGTTCTGAATGCCGTTTTTGGTACATCCTCAGGCCTAATCTTTAACTGATGGTAACTAGACCTTAGGTCAATTTTAGAGAAAACTAATGCACCCTGCAATTGGTCAAAAAGATCATCTATTTGAGTCAACAGATACTTATTCCGAATGGTGACCCTATTCAACTGTCAATAGTCTATGCACATCCTCATACTACCATCCTTCTTATTAACAAACAAGACAGGAACACCCCACGGGGAGGCACTAGGACGGATAAAATCTTTTTCAAGAAGCTCCTGGATTTGAGGTTTAAGCTCTCTCAATTCTTTCAGAGCCATGTGATAAGGAGGAACGAAGATGTGTCACGACCCAGGGGTACACCCTAGATGTAACATGGCACATAGAACCCCCGAAGGACTCAATGTAAGCCACTAAGCATATCATAACATATGATAATAGAAAAGTGCGGAAATTTTAAAATATTTTCCATAAAATCAAAGTCTTTATAAAAGCAAAACGGAAGTCTTATTACACTTGTCTCAAACCATCTATAACAACTTTGAATAAGTCTTGGGACACAGCCCATACACTAGTCTCAAAACATATAAAAAGACATAAAGGAAAGGTGATCAAAACTCGATGCTATGAGGACTCACCAAGTCTTCAACTCCTTGCTCTTCTAGAAACCTACCCTCAAGAATGGAACTCAAAATCACCGAACCCTACATTTGATGAGAATGTAGGCAACAGTATGCATTAGTACAAAATGTACTAAATATGATAGCTAGCATAACATCATAAGAGCATACCATAAAGGTTAGTCAACATAAGTCATATGCCATAATCATAAGAGATACTTCATGAAACATAAGCTATAAGCATATGAGACAATAACATAGTCATAAGCATAATCTCCAACATAGACATAATATAAGCATTAGTCAACCCTTAGTCCTTCATATCATAAGAGAACTTAGTTATCAAGTAACCTCAAAGCATACTTGTGCAATGCATGGATGAGACCCCATAATTCAACCCACACTAAGTATCCCTTTTTGGTCATCATAATCATACTTACCATCTTTAGATCTCATCCTTAGCTTCATTTTCATAGACAAGGGAATCTTCACCTTTAGTCCAACATATCATGGAAGGCAACTATAGCAACAATCCAAGCTAAGCATACAACATATAAGAGAACACTTCATAAGTAGCTTCAAGTCATACTTGTGCAATGCATGTATAAGACCCCATAATCCTACCCATACTAAGTACCACTTTAGGCTATCATACTTAAATGATCACTATTTATCATTTCTAGACTACCAAGGAATAGCACCCTATTAGACTAGACCAAGCTACCAAGGAATAGTCACCATAATAGGCTAGACCATGCTACCAAAGGAATAGCATACTATCATGCAAGTCCAAGCTATGCAAGGAAGGGTATTATTTCACCATCCTAGCTACCAATGAAGTGGTTTGGCCTAACCAAGTCCTGCTACCATGCAAGCATTCTATGATGCTAGTGTAAGCTACCCTTTGGAGAGAATGGTTTCTCAATCCTAGGCTACCATGAGGTCTTATACTCAAGCTACCATGCAAGCATTTTATGATTATAGTGTAAGTTACCCTTAGGAGAGGATGGTTTCTCAATCCTAGGCTACCATGAGATGGTCTTGTATTTTCAAGTCAAGCTATACACGAAGTGGTTTCATAACACAACCTCAAGCTAACATAACTAACATGCTTTGATTCATTTTAGGTGAGTAAGCCTTTCAACCTAGAATCATTTTATGTGAGAAAACCTTTCATCTCCTTGCATATTCATGCCTAAGTGTGTATATGAGAATATCATTTCAACAACACAACAACATATCATTATCATAGAAACTTCCCTCTCAAAGTGTTCATAAAGCATTTACATAGGTTCTATAAGAACATGCATAATCTCATACTTTCGTAGTCTAGGTCATGTGGGTAAAGTCGTTCCACAATAACTCTATCCAGTAGTCTACCATTATCCTATAAGCTTCACTCTTTAATCATTAACTTACATAATTCATCATATTAGATTTACTATCAAAACCCTAGTAATCAACATTCATGACTACAAGCCTTACTCTCAAAGGTTTACCTCTTACAATCATCATACATACCTAGATCACAAGGCATTCTAGTCACATGCTTCATTCTTAAGCAATTCTAGTCATATATCCTCATAAAGTTTCAATCTCAAGCTTTACTATTCATGATCCATTACATATACATTTTACTAATTCAATTCATGTCTATATGATTTCATTCTTGAACAATTACTATACATATCATCAATTGTAGAAGATCATCTATAAATCCTCAATTTCCCTTCACAAGGCATAAACCCACATTACTATAATTTCATCAATTAAACTAGGGTTAGCCATGGAAAACATGTAAAATCATCATAATAACATGATTCATTACTAAATAAATCATAAACAAGTAATATCCACTCAATTGGAATCATACTCAACTTAACCCATAATATTGGAAGGAACCCTAACTTGAATTGGGGATTTTATCTTCACAATTGGGGGATTGCTAGCGGGCTCCATGGGTGGAAGAATCCATGTACGAATAAGCTACCATACCTTGGATACAAAGCCCTCACAAAACTTGGAATATTGGAGGAATTTGACCTAGCTTGATTCTCTTCTTCTTCCTTGAGTTTTCTAGAGTGAGAATTTTCTAGAAGATGAACTTAGGGATCTTTTGGGGTTTTGGAAATAGTTTTTCTTTCTAGAGAGAGGATATCTTGGAGAGAATTTGGGTTCTTTTGGTGAGTTTAGAAATAATGACTAGGATCAATGAATTTAGGGGTCTTATAACTTTATATAGGTGGTCTAAACTCTAATAAAATGACACCACTTAACTCCTAATTAATTTGGGAAAGTTCCGTAATACGCCCAACTTAATCGTCTACGGCAGTTCACTGCCTCACCCATGGGACGTGGGTGGACCCACGGAGCGTGCTGGTATTTTGTGGGTGGTGGTCTGCAAGTCCACTTTTGGGACACTGACCCACGAGGCGTGGACCCCCATACGGGGTGTGGGTCCCCTCGTGAGTGGACTGTTTTGTGGTAGCTTTCTTGGGCAGCCCTAGGGTCCACCTCAAGGACCTTTGGTTGGTCCTTGGGGGGTTGTACCTTGACGATTTAACCCTAAAGCCTTCATTCTAAGTATAGGAGGTCATATCTATGACTCTAACCCTCACATCAAGCTCTAGAATCCTTACGTAAAGCTCTAGTTTAGCCTACTAGTTTTCAGGTGTTATAAGATGAGACGAGTTCCCAGTTCCAAGTCAATGCAGAAATCTATATCTCTATCCGGAGGCATACCAGGCAAATTGGTAGGAAACACTTCTTTGAATTCAGACACCACAATAATAGACTCAATAGAGGGAGACTCATCCTCAACATCCTGAATATGAGCCAAATATGCCAAACACCCCTATCCCACCAGTTTTTTTAGCCCGAATGAAAGATATGACCTTGGTTGGCTTAGGCTTGTACACCCTTTCCCACTCTAACTTTTCCCTACCCAGGATCTCTAGAGTCACAAACTTAGTATTACAGTTAAGCACAACATAATAGGGGGACAACCAAGTCATACCTAAGATTATATCAAAGTCAGTCATATAAAAAATAACCAAATCAGCCTAAGTCTGAAAATGCATAAACAAGACAGGACAAGCACGATACACATGGGTGACTATGACAGACTATCCAACTGGTGTAGAAACATGGATGGGGGCATCAAGCACATCACAAACCACATCAAATTCCAAGGAAAACTGAACTAACACATATGAATAAGTAGAACCCGAATCAAACAAAACAGTAGCCATCCGGTCACAGACAAGAATAGTACATGTGATCACTGCATTAGACACCTCAGCCTTGGTCTTGCCCGGAAAAGCATAAAACTGAGCCTTGTCATCTTGACGGGCAACCTCCTTGTATGGCTACACTTGTCCTCTACTTGCATTACCATTTTCCCGGCCCCTACGGCCTCCCTAATTTCCTCCTCGCCCACCTTGTGGATGTTCTCTGCCATTACTACTGCTGCCCACTGGTACCACTGCTCTGGTCTGTTGCTGCATGGGGTCAGACATGCACGGATGGGGACAATCTCTCCTCATATGTCCAGGTTCTCCACAATTGTAATACACTTAATAACTTAACAAAGTAAGCATCACTGCTATTGTAGTAGTCATATCATCACCATGTTTGATATACACTAAATCTAGGAAATCGTAGTAGAGATTCTAACCTCAATTGTCGTAACATAATTTTACCACTTACTAAGCAACCCATACATGAGAACAATACTAAATGCATTTTCCAAAGTAATGGTGTTCATTATCTAGTCGTCCCTTACAAAACTTCTTGAATGTTGTCACCTTAGCAATGTCTTCTGACTTCACCCTTTTCTACCTCCGTCACAAAATCAACCACTTCTTGAAAAGATTTAGCTGAAGCAGCGACGTATAAGCTTGAATCTACAAATCTGACCTTAATCTCTACACAAAGCGACAAATTTTCTCCTTTAGACTGAAGCAAAGTGGAGTACCGTATTTGGATAAAACACAAAATTTGGTCTTATAGGCTGCAACAAATATATTATGTTGCTTTATATTCGGGAACTCATAGGCATCCTCACTCTCAGAACCATGGAAGACAGGAGGCTTCAGCTTCAGAAACTTCGTCAACATCTCATGCTTAGTACAAGTCATCACAGGACCCAATAAGGGATGGAAGAATGTAAGAGATTAGATACCAATTTGGATCACCGGATACCAATTGAAATCAAGTCATAGCACGAAAGAAGAAAAAGACAGAGAGATTTCCTAAAGTCTTGTAGCCTCTCGAAGAAAACTACAGACGTCTCCATACCGTTCCGCAAGACTCTACTAGACTCGTTTTGGTACAATGAGATCAACGAACCTAGGGCTCTGATACCAACTTTGTCACGACCCAGACCGCTGTGATTGACATCCACACTAACCCTCTGGTGGGAGAACCATTACTACAACCGACTAAACATTTAAAGTTACGAAAGCAGGTTTAAATGACTAAATGAATACAGAGTTCCCATAAACTCGGAAGTTCTAACAAACAACTATTTCAGAAATTCAACCCCTAGAACCGAAAGTCATTGTACCAAAACTCTGTTAACTAACAAGTCTAAGAGAAGGGGGTGCAACCCCAGAAACTAAACATAACAATTCTAAACATATAGTCTGAGTTCGAAGAGAATGGACTAAACAAAAGAAGGATCCATGGCAGCCTGAAAGATCTGGCTCACTCTTGAATCTGGTCGCAATCAATAATCTCCTAACTGAGTTTTGTCAGTAGCTGCCAGAAGATGCCCTATACTCAACAAAGAAAGAGCAAGTGCAATATCAGTACATGAAACCATGGTGTACTGGTAGGATCACGCGGCTACTCCCGTAAGCACAATATACACAAGAAATTACAACACAGTAAACACACATATACATAATGCATAATTCAGTTATAATTTTAGGAGCAACATACAATTTCCCAATTTCAATTAAAATTAGATATGAATGAAATAATCACAGGTGGTTTTCTCATGGAATCCACACCCAAACTGTTAGTGTGTCGAAACGTGACACCCGATCCAATATACATGTGTCGGAACGTGACACCCGGTCCAATATATGTATCGAGACGTGACACATGATCCAATATATGTGTCGAAACGTGACACCTGATCCACTCAACACAACCACAATCACACCCATTATGAACAATGCTCATACTCATATAATCAAGTAATAGGTTCATGGCATATAATTGTTCCCACCTAATCACTTCATTAGATTGATTCATATTTCCCATTCACATACATGCATGCATATAATGAAGCAATTAACAATCATATATCACACAACAGGAAATCGAACCATCACCTACCTAGAAACCAAGCCTGAATACTCCTATGACACCTGAGCCTTCCTTTTCCGAAGTCTTTCAGCTTTTCTTGGTCTATAAACAAGTAATTAACGCAAGGATCAATAAACAAGGTCTAATTTACCCGAATTATAACAAACTTATCAACCCAAGACCAAACCCATGATCCTAATTTTCAACTAGTGCTTTTTCCACCACCAACTTCAGGCCAAAACCCTCACCCAACGATAATTACCCAAGATTCTAAGTTCTAGGAATCGAAATATGGATTAGAGGAGTAATTAACTTTCCTTTAGCGCTAGAAATCATGGAAAATTGTCAAGAATTGCCCTGGGTCTTCCCTTAGTTCTTAAGAACGAAGTTTTGTAGAAAATAATAAAATTGAGGTTTTTCTTGACTTAAGTTCGTGACTTGCCCGCCACGACGAACCCCAATCTGCCCTGGCGGGATTAATTAATCCCACCCCGGCGGCTTGCATGGAGACAAAAACTCAGAATTTGAGTTCCAATCTCCCATTTCACAACACACCTTCAAATCGGGAAGTTCTAAAACTACCATTTCACGCAAAGATCAGATTCAGGAGTTGTACTCGCCCGAATTCGATTCTCGTAAAGCCGTATAGGCCCCATAACGCCTTGGCTATCCAGTTATGTGATAAAATTCATAATTCGATCCCCCATTCATTACCAGATTTTTCTTGACCTCACCTGACTCAGATTTCGTCCAAGTATGGCCTAGGCTAGAAATTTCCAAGTTACTACTCAGAAGTTTTTTGGCACAAATTCCTTCTCCATTGGCTTTTCCATATTGACGGGAATCGGTCGTTACATTATGATACTTACGGTGAGTATTGCATATTTGTATATCTTATGAGAAACCTTTTGGTAAGCATATTCCATGTTTATTTCTTATGGTGATATACTGCAATCCAACCGACTGTTTGATTTCATTTTTGGATTTTATTTGTTAGCCTTCCCATGTACATTTTCAAGATCGGATTTCATCTTTTTAATTTTTTTTTCTTTTCGCATATGCACTTGGAGCAACTGAACACAGAGTCTTAGGACTAGACTCCTACATCCGTATGCAGTCTTGAAATAAGTAAATTGAACAATGAAAAGAGAAAAACAAAGCAACTAGAGGTCATAGAACGAAACAGAAACAAAAAAATTATCTACAAAGCACACAAGTCTAGGAAAGGACAATGATAAAATAATACGAAACTATAACCTAACTAGACTACCATAAGCCTAGAACGTATACACTCTTGCACAAATGAAAGTACATAACCCAAATAGGCCCCCATAAGTCCGATGAGTACACAAAAAAAACTAAGGAACTACTAGTTAAGTTTAAGAGTATAAGGAACTACCACAACCATCCACGGACTCGAACAGCAGTAAAGGCACTCCATGAATCAAATAGAGTCACCAAGTCAAGACTCGAACCCGACTAATAGAAGTGATGCCCAAAATTTAACAAAGACTAATGGAGATGTGTCAGGGCCTCGAATCATCACTTAAAAAGGTACGCCATTCACTACTGGCTAAAAAAAGATACATTAGGGCCTCAAAACGTGGCTAAAAAAAGATATGCTAGGGCCTTTAACCGTGGCTTGAAGAGTATACACGGGGGCTTCTAACCCAGGATTAATGTCACAACCCAAAGTACACCTTAGATGTGACATGGCATATAAGTCCCCGATAGGCCCTACACAAACAACTTAGCGTACATCATACAAGATAATAGAACAAAGAGTTTTAAAAGTAGCATTTCAAATAAAAGAGTTTGAAAAAATGTAGCAGAAGTGTAAACATAAGTCTCAAGGCCATCTACTACATCAAAGGAGTGATTGAGACGTAAGTCACACATCATATACAGTACCCGAAATAAAAAGACATGAAAGTAATAAAAGAGTCTCCGTCTTCGTAATATGAGGGCTCACCAATCTTTAATGTCTATAAGGGATCACTAGCCACGAGTACGGGAGGTAGGAGCGTCGGACCCTACATTAGTGAAACAATGTAGGCAAAATTATGTGTTAGTACATGGAATGTACCAAGTATTATAGCAATGCATAAGAGTCGTGAAATCATGCTAACAGGAATTTATATAACACGCAATCACCAAGATAAATCATAAAACAACATGTTAGAAAACATAAGTCATAACCATGGTCCAAGCTAAACATCTTTAAAACACATTTGAGACACTTTTAGAAAGTAACCTTAGTTCATTATTGTGGGAGATTAAACTTTAATCGACATAGACCATGTGAGCTCTAACATGGAATCCGGTGTTGATGAGTCTAAGATTTAGACTCATTTAGGGCTTTATTTGTATAGATTTAGTGTCCTCAAATGCTTATTTTGTGCCAATAACTGATGTAAAACCTTTGATTTCCAGGTATATTGATTGAGGAGCAACACAAGGACACTAATTTGCAAAAAGGAACAAAGAAAGCTAAAAGAATGAAGAAAGGCAAGCTTGGTGATCACCAAGTCCACTTGGCGAGTAGCTGAATGGCTACTTGACCGCCTAAAGTTCCAGTGTGCCAATCCCTGAAGGAAAGAACCAAGTTGGCGAGAGAAAAGAGCAGTCAGCGGATCACCAAGTGGTTCCACAATGCAGTGTTGGATCGCCCAAAGTTACATACCTTGAGGATGCTGAATGGCAAGGCAAAAGGGCGATGGAAATGACCAAAGGGCGGCTCACTGAGTGGTTCAGCGATCCCGACTTACTCCGCCGAGTGACTCTATGTAGCACATTTTTGGCAACTATAAATACATTTTTGAACTTTAGTTTAGCATCATAGCTCATATTTTTTTAGTTTATTATTGAGTTTTGAACGAGTGAGACAACTTTGAATTGAAGTTTTTCACTTTTGAGAAATTGGAAGTGGGTCTTTGAGATTCTTCGAATTGGAGCATTGTAAGGATGAATCTACACTTACCCAGTTGATGGATAATCAATTTGGTAACTGTTTTTACCTTTTATGATGTCTAGCTAAAACCTCAATTCTTGGGGGTGTGATTATGTGATTATGGGCTGATTTAGTTTATGGGTATTGCTAATTGTTAGGTTAAATGCTATTTAGAAGTGAGTTCAATCATTAATTGTGGTTTAATTTAAGCATTGTAGTTGCAAATGCATTTCTACCCTTGTGTTTTTGGCTTTCTTGAGAGAGAGGTTTCAAAACTAAACTTATTGATTAATGGTCTGTGGGTATTGGGTTGATCTGGGTTTAACTCGAGAGAGTGAATCCTAAACCCAATCCCAAACATTCAACTTGAGAGAGTGAATGGACTAAGGTATGTGATGTTCTTATTTTGCATACTTGTTGATGTTCGAGAGATATCAACTTGATTCGGGGTAAATTGTTCGAGAGAAAGTTTATCACCTCTATAGCCTAGCTTACTCACTAATATCGAGCAATTTTCTAATAGTTGCAATTATCCATTCGTCTATATTGGCTTATAATCGAATCATATCCCAAGAACCCATCTCGTTATTGTTATTTCGTATTGTTTGGTACTGCTTGTAGTTGATAATTTCAAACCAAAACCCCTCATTTGACATTCGTGTCACCCTATAATTTGAATGATGTCTTTATTCGATAATTTTTATTCCTATGACTGATTTGATCATGTTCATGCTTTCCAATTGAATCTGAAACATGTACCGCTCCCTATGGAATTCGGCCCCAACTCATTTAGTTGGGTTTTATACTGATTAACGACCGTTGACACTTAGAACTAGATGAAGTGTCTTTGAAATGTCAATCAAAATGGCATCATACGTCCCTTCCATTCCTGGTCCTGATTACAAAGCTGTGCCGGCGTGCTGGAGTTCCTCGTAATGAGAAGAGGGACATCGAGGTCACCCCCACATCCTCTAGAGACATTCGGCGCATAGAGGCTGAGTACACTCGGGATGAGGCAGACAAGAGGAGAGTATCTCCGGTGGATACATCCCCGAAAGTTAATGTTGAGTCGATACCTACAGAGGCATCTTTGCCTACTCCGACCTCTGAGCTTTCAGGTACTCCCGCTTCCACTTCCTCCTAGGTTTTTGGTTTATCTACTACTTCCCATCCCACCAGGATTACTCAGGCCATGATCCTGAAGATGGGGAACTCAGCCCATTCTGCCGATGTGTGGGCTACATGATTAGAGGTCGCGGTACCTTGGATGATCAAGAGGTCCATCCTAGCTGTATTGACACCCCTCTGGACATCTATTGATGCTCTTACGACAATAGTAGAGACTTGTGAGAGTCGATATGGGGTTACTTCAGAGATGACATCTTTGAAAGCTGAGGTTGCAGACTTGAGAAAGGGTGTGGACTATCTAAAGTCTACAAACTTCACTTCTTTATTTGAGGCAGCTGGGACTGAGAGTGTCTCGGGTAGTTTTGAGATGCCTCTGGCTACCACCGGAGATGTGCATATGGATGATGTGGCAGCTGAGGATTTGGAGGAAGAGACAGATGAGGAGCAACTATAGGTGCAAGAGGGGACCATCTATGGATACCTGCAGACCTAGAGGCGACGATTGTATAGTTGGTAATACAGATATCGCTGACAGAGACGTCCATTGCAGGTCCTAGTGGAGCCAGTGTTGCTAAGGTTACCCCAGGCACTGATGCCCTGACAGATGGAGCGACTGTGTAGACAGGAACTTTCTTTACCTCCCTCTCTGTCATTTTTATTGACCTTTTATTATTTTGTTGTATTTGAGGACAACTGCATTATTTGTTTGTGGTGGGGTGAGGTATTTCCATACCTACCTCTTATGACTACATCTTTTGTATATATTATTGGGTTTTCGTGTTTAAATTGTGTTTTGATATTGTATTGTGGATGTTTGAGCTTATGGCTCCTCATTATGAATGCAAATGGTTTTTGACCCTTCTAAAAATTATTGCCACCTCTTGTGTGTGATTATGGCTATTCTTGTGCAAATTTGAGTATCGATTATGATCAATATCGATGACTTGAATAGTGCTCTTAATCAAACAAAAATGAATGCACGATTACGATGAGTCCAAATGAAGTTGCATAGACAATATGTGGACTTTTGCATCTCGTTGTGTCTAGCCGATTATCGAATGAGTCTCTTGTGATGAACATTGCACACTAGCGAAAGTGTGGAGTCTTGTTTGATATTGGTGCCAATTCCTTGTGTGATGAGCTTACCGTGAACCTTGTGTGATGACACCTAGAATTTGCCCCATTGGTCCAATTGACTAAGTGATGCAAGCTCTTGAAATGATCTTAGGCAACAATTTTGAAGAGTGAAGTATTTTGACAATATACCTCTTTTGTGGCTAACCTTGTGAGATGTGTGAACTTTGCTTGAACCCATTTGAGCATTACCCTTTTCTTGGAAGAAACTTGATGCAATTGTAACCCCTCTTTAACGATTCACCCATAATCCTTATGAAATGTGGTTTGTTTGAATAGCCAACTTAGGCCAAAAGCCTAAGTTGGGGGTGTGGTGAAAAGAGAAGGTAAATAAAGCAGTGTGAAGAAGTCCCCCTTGATCCATGGACTTGAAAAAGATGGAACCCCTCCATACAAAAAAAAAGAAGAGAAAGAAAAGAAAAAAGAAAAAGAAAAAGAACGAAA